AAAAATGGAAGTGGGTTTGGGTCGAAATTACCTCAAATTACTTACCCAAATGAAAAATTATTTAATAGAACTCAAAAGTGGTCCTAAATATGTGTTTTTGTCTTTGAAGTAAGTCAATTTCAGGGCTGCAATTTTTTCTTGGTTTATTCGGATTTAATTGTGGTACCTAGTATGGAATTAAATATTGCTCACTTCGCATACATTAACCTGAAAAGGAGAGAAAGTTAATCACCGACTGAGCAGTCAACATACTTTACTACGTTTTTATTATTTTTTATAGAATCAGATGATAGAATTATCAGTAAGGACTCCTCATCGCCCATCTTTAAGGTGAAGATTTCGGAATCATCCTTGGAATGGCAAGGACATTCTGAAAAATCGCCACCGCCCATTACTGTTCAAGGAGTTAGCAGCATGCGCACACATTCATCTTGCTTCTGTGCATGGCTTCGAGAAGTGAATGCATTACGACGCGAAGTGACACGAGCCCTCTTGTTGGGTCCCTTTCTGATGCTTCACAACCTCATGGTGGTTCCAGCAGACCTGGGTCTTCTTCCCTCACTAATTCGACCCACTCCAAGCGAAGTGGAGACTGCAACTACTGTTGTGCAACGTCAAGTCTTCCGGCGGATTCAACTACCATTAGACAAACTTCTTCATGTGCAGAAGGTTACAAAGGCCAGTTTTTCTGAGATCTCAATGAGTCTTCTTTCCGGAGCCTTAAGAGCTTATCAACAGGTTAGAACTAGTGCTTATTTCACCAAAGAATCATAATGTAGTTTGAGGCAAAAATAATCGTTTTGAAAGTTTTAATTAAGCTGCCACAACTTTGCCAATCCCTTAATTCCTCCACAAGCTTGGCGATAAAGTCCAACATCTCACATTGGACTGAATAGATCCCACCCCATCACCTCGGTGTGTCCAAGATCATTTCTGATCCGTGAATTGTCAAATGTCGCATGCACGAATGTGTGCACGAAATCAGAACCTTCCAGGAATGGAATCCAGCATCCTTTCTTCTCCCACTTTTATCGTTGCCGTAATGCCAATTAGCTGTGTACATAAGTGATCTTCACATCCTGAGGTAAAATTTTCAGTTACGCTCACATCATTTCTAACTGCGCCTCAACTTATCTAACCACCTGCAACCAGACGCTTTCATCATCTGTTCGGTGGGCGGTGCAAATTATGGAGTAACCCGGGTCTTTCCTTCAGACCTGATAATATCGTTCAGGGGACAAAATAGGGAGCTTGAGTAGATGAAATGTCAGTGCTCAATCGGAAGGGGAAAGGATAATGACTGTTTATGGGGAATTTTGTAACACAGTGAGCTGGCAAATTCATCGTCTTCCACGAAACCATCAACACTTTCCGCACATTTATTTTCTAAAAGGTCAGGTTTATCAATGTCACTTGAAGGCAACAGTCAAGGTATTTGTCCCGCCCTTTTTGTCACACTTGTTTCCCACTTCACTGTAATCATGCGATTGTCTGACAGCAACGGTCAGGGGTGATCGTGTAATAGAATTGAAAGAAAAGTGTGTGAAGAAGGCCATTTACTTCATTCATCCCGAGTGTGCTTTAAGAGGTATTTTCATGACTTTTTGGATCCACTGACAAGTCTTGGTTGCATTGCCTTCTTCTTCAGAACAACGAGGTTTTATGCGCAACCCTAAGATGTGTCATGCCGAGTGGAGAGTTTGAATTCGCTGGTTTTGTTTGCAGTTCAAGGCACAAATTGCGATTATAGACCTCTAAATGTAAAGCGATGTCTCAGAAGTCCACTTACAACCACTGATGTGTTTGTTTGTTTGTTTGTTTGTTTGTTCTGTCGGTAAATCACCTTCGAAAAATATTGGCAGCCTTAAAAGCTTATTGTCAAATGAGTTAGTGTGATTGCCCTAGCTTCCACCACGAAGCATCCAGTTAATGTGAGCAAAAAGCTATTCATAACAGGCCTTTTAGAAGATCTTGTCACACCAATCTTTGGTACGGGATGCGTATCTCTTTGTGATCAATAATGTTTACTTTGTGGTCACACTGTATCCACCATGGAAACAAACAATCGGGTATGCAGGGATGGGGTACGGGTTACATTGTTTTGTTACCGCAACCTTTACAGCTTTGGATTTTGTCGTAGAACGAACAGGCTCTCGTGATGTTCTGCTATGTGTAACCTTTAAAGTACGTGTGAATCCAAGGAAATGCGACTGTGATTATTGAAATTGCTCACAGACACTTATATTTGCCTTATGCGTCTCATTTGGTAGATCTTCCTTGTTTCCTGAAGTCAGTAGTGGGATTGAAGCTATTCAAGTCTTCTTGAATGTCGTTTCCCTTTCCTTGACTTCATCATGGATTTGTGCAAATGCTTTATTATTTTTTGCTACTTGTTGAGAACATTTGCTTCAGGCACACACAGTGATACCGTCGGCAT